ACACATGACTTGATATACAGGAAGACATCCATCTATAATTGGTATTAATATCAAATGCAGCAAATAATCTGCTTGTTAAAGCCGCCATTGTCTCACCAACCCTGGAGTATATGTCCCTCTTAGCGCATAATGCCCCAGTTTGGACAAAGACGTGTTTAGCTTAGCGGAAGTTAGTCACTCGTTTCAGCATGAAAACACTTATGTCAGTGCCTCCGAGACGGCCAAGTTGCAGCTGTTCATATTTAACGATTCAATTGCTGTTTAGCTTCAAGTTCATGACCCCGGAGCTATGATAAATGTCAAGTGCAACAATGTCCCGCTAACTAGACGTGCCACTGCCAGCCAATCATTTTGTTATTGACTGGGAAAGTACAAGGCGCTGTAATGTGACTCTAAATGCTACGTTACAGTGTATCTATGTGGGTAACCATGTGGGCCAGTTATTCAGTCTGATTCAGTTGTGTTCATTCGGCTCAGAGCACTGCTGTCAGTTTCTATTCCAGATCACCCAACAGGCGTCAGGGCAGATCTCTGATTATGTGTCAGTAATGTCATAAATTGCAGAAATATCAGGGTGGAGGTACAGTTGTTCATTTTGAAATAAGCTGTAGTCCTGTAGGTTTTTAAAAGCTTATCTGATCCCTAAGTGGTTCATATCCTTTTTTTGTCTGATGTACATCCATCATCATCATCATCTGCTCAAGCACCTCTTCACTGATACCAGTCATCAGGATGGACACCAGTCGTCACTATTTGTTATATAAAACTTGATATTGTTACTTTAGGGTGGGACGATATGGACAAAATCTCCTATCACAGCATATGTATTTTATATGTATGTAAATTTGATATCACAGTAATAGTATAAAACACAATACAATAATTGTTCCATCAAATCAATTAAGAAATGGTAAAGTTCCTTAGAACAACAATTTCAAGTGTTTCAGGTTTTTGTATTTACAACTTCACTCCATGTCTGCCCAAATCATGTTACCTGGCAAGGCGGATTGATATGCGAGAATCCCAAGATCACATTAGAATCCAGCCCCTGGTACAGTACATAGCTGCCACGGTAGAAACATAGATGTATAAAGAGAACTGGATACAGCGTTAAAGGCAGGGCCCATTCATTCCTATGAAAGTTGCTCAGTGGTACATGAAGCATCTCTGAGTGGTTTCCGTTTAGCTTGCTCACTCAGATGGGGATGAAATTATTTAATTGTGTGACTCTTGTAGGATTTCTAAATGATATCGGAAACATTGGATCAAACTCTGATCAATTAGCAGGGGTTGTGACATTTAAAAAAATGTATTCTTCTTAACAGGCTATGTACCACAGTCTTTTAAGGTAGTTGTAATTAAACCTCTACTAAAAAACCCACCCTGGATCCAGAGGTGTTAGCCAACTATAGACCAATATCTAATCTTCCCTTTATGTCAAAGATCCTTGAGAAAGTAGTCGCAGACCAGCTGTGTGATTTTCTACATGATAATAATTTATTTGAGGAATTTCAGTCAGGATTTAGAGTGCATCATGCATCAGCACTAGTTAAAATTACAAATGACCTTCTGATTGCTTCAGACAAAGGACTTGTCTCTGTACTTGTTTTATTAGATCTTAGTGCGGCGTTTGACACAATTGACCATCAAATTCTACTGCAGAGACTGGATCACTTAATTGGCCTAAAAGGTTCTGCACTGAGCTGGTTTAAATCTAATTTATCTGATCGTTTTCAGTTTGTTGACGTTCATAATGAATCATCCTTAC